GGTTGGGGCTGTGCGCCGCCGCCGAGGGAGAGGCGTATCTCCCGGGATGTAATGTGCACTAGACTCACGGGACTAATGGCCGTAGTAGCTGACGCTCCCGGGAGGCCGAATGCTGTGTCGAGGGGTCCGTCCATGGGGGAGAGGCGCCGAGGGTCCGCCCTTGACCTCGCAGCGGGGCCGCCATCGTCCGCCGCCTTTCTATTTCCCAGCGCCACCGCCTCCGCTCGACCGCGGGACGCTGCGTTGTCACTCGCTGGACCCACGCAACGCATCTCGCAACTGCGACGCGGGGAGAGCCTCGAGCATTCAACCCGCCATTTTGTCTTGCTTAGCACCACGCGACGAAGTTTTGTTTTACTGGCGTCGGTGTGTGGTAAAATCTCGTCTTCATTCGACTTTTTTTTAAACGAAATATTCTTATTTAAAAGTGTAATACCCGAAACAACACGTGTGTTCATCGATAATTTCTACACCATTTATTCATTGCAGGCGGTGTCGTCTGACATTTTTTTTAGTTGTGGTCATTAAGGCAAACCTTCTCAAACTAGATGTCGCACTCTTATGACGATTGTATGAATGTTAATAAAGCTCACAATAACATCTGAATATTCGTATTTTAATTGATAAACGATTTAGATGACAAAAATATCCGTTTTGGCTGTCGGACAACTTGTTTAGATCCTGTTTTGCACTATTAAATTCTACCAAGTAATTTGTCATTCATATGTCAGATTTTGAGTTTTTATATTCCTTTTTGGATTTCAATATAATTTTCTTTGAATAGTAAATAATTTTATACTACAAACTAATTGAATACTGAGTATTTTAAAACTGTTTTTGATACTTTTTATGTATAAGAACATATTTTTTTAAAATTGCAAGGTCTTGTAATTTTTTTCTGAAAGGATTTCCTCCGAATGTAATTCTTTATGGCAGGAATTATGCATAGAAATCGTAGTAAATATTGTAACTATATAAAAGTAAAATAATGATATTCTGTAAAGAAACGTTACAAAAATTGGGTCTACAATGTTGAGAAACCTTACTGTGAAATCGGTAATACTCTTTTGTGGATGAACCTTAGAATCAAAGAATCCTTGTCACATTTGTTCCCTTCATGTACCATTACAGTGTAGTGAAGTAAAATATGTACGCAAGGACGTAAGTTTTCTAAAGGGAGAAGTTTGGTTTGAACTGAGTAATAGAGAAAACGTGCCGCTAATGACGTGCAGGACGGCTGTCCCTTCGTCAAAAGTTCAAGGAGCTACGAAACTGCAGAGATTTTTCCGACTACATGGCCATCAGTCATGACTACAAGCGGTTGAGAAATAACGGAATGTACTGTACAAAAAACTAGATTGATTTGCGTGGTTTTTATTATATTTATTACAAAAATAAATAAAAGTTAATGAATAGAAATTTCCAGTATTAGGTGTAGAAAATTCGGTAAAGTCAATATTCAGATTTAACTTATTTGTTCAATACTCTAATACTAAAGAAATTTTTCAGCATTGCTTTGAACGAGATGTATTATGTAACGTACACATGACAGATCTAGAGGATGTGGTTGTCTAATACCTTAAGCAGAACGAGTCCTTGTTTGCACAACAGATGATGTAGACTCCATTCATATGTTTACTTCGTTTCCTGGCGACATGAGTCATGGGCAAGACATCTTATTCATTCATTGAAATCAGTTTCTCCCGGAGGAAATCGCTCCTGACTGGTTGAGTGGCGGATTAGATAACCGCGAGAAATCGCACGTGGAGTAGAACGGCATTACGAGCACGCTGTGCTTTCTCGCGAGAAACTGCCTTGAATGATAATTAGCGTAACATTGGAGAATAAGAGAGGAGAGGAGTGAAATGAGTTTGCAGACAGATGCCAAGGTGTGCGAAGAGACTTCGTGAGAATTAAGCAGATATAGAATGACTGTTTAGTTTTGGCGATTCTTCTTTATTTTAGTGCCATCTCTGACGAAATATTGACTAAGAATCAGAGAGATCGTATTTTGCTGTACGGGGCAATTTAGAAATGTATGTTTAATGATATTAGGAATATTCAATCGTTTGCGTTGTTCATCAAAATACGAAAGACACAATAGCCGTATTTTACACGGGATCCGAACCCACACCCCTAGTTTAAAGCGGTATTTTCTACAATAGCGTACGTATTCTGTGAAGGTATTTTTTGCTTTCTTTGTGGTGATTTAAATAAGACAGTACAGTATTTTTCACAAATTTGGTTTAGGACTTACCTAGGAGCGACAGAGCACACTTCAGATATTGGAAAACGAAGTTGCCAAAATTCGATTTGAGAATTTTTATCAAATATTTAGTTTTGAATAGCCAGTGCATTAATTAACTGACAGTTGTTGTGTGAGGTCGTATATATAATAATATACTCAAATCAGCTATATATATATATATATATAATCCCCCTATATATTATATATATATCCTATACTTTATAGTAGATCTTTGTATGGAGATGTATAGGAATTTTATTACCGGATTATGTTAAATACTCTCATTATTTATTTTCTGCATAAACTATAATTTTTATTTCTATGTTGTAATAAGATGCAAATTAAATTAAAAAAAGCAATAAAATTTACCCGCCCCTGAATAAGTCAAATTGAAAAAATTGAAAAGGATTTAGTTAAACACGTTTTGATACATTGAAAGATAAAATAGAGGAGGACTATAGTTTAATTGAAAACTTCATAGGAACAGACAGATGGAGAACGCTTTTAGTAATTTGATTATATCATGAACATGAAATAATAAAATTAATTATTATGGAAACTAATTTACATTACTATGTTGTTTTGGCCATTTACGTCCCCTTTATTCTTGATAATGAAGTACTGAATATAGTATTTCAAAATTCTATTATTTCACTCATACCATACGTTCTTGAAATTGAGCCAGATTAATATTGTTTATGTATCTGTGTACTTTTTCACCACCGTTATTCGCTCTCGACCGTCACAAAAATGTTGTAGTCGATATGTGACTGCTTCGCATCGGACGATGTGTTGCAGACTGTCTTATGAATCCCGACATAATAAAAGGAGTAAAAGAGCATACCAATGCGGAGCGGATATTTCTGTCGTGGGAAATTTTCTCAGTAATATCGCAAATATGAAACCGTGAGAACGTGCTGCATAGCACGCAACGTCCGTTCGTCCATCCCGAATTCACATGTTGGCGCCTCTTTCATGAACTCCGCTGGAAGAACATAATGCTTTTCAACTCGGCACGACCCTCATTATTTTTCAGTACTCGCATAACCGACTAGAGATGTGGTTAATATACAAATATGTTGTGTTTGTTATTTACTTCCTGTTAGTCTCAGACTATAAAGTCTTTATGTGCCCTGTAATATCGACCTAGGTTGTCCTCGTTTTGCGATACCGCATTAAGGGGTATTCAGATGTGTTAAAGTTCTTAATGTTGTCATAACTTGTTTCTTCATTTTACTCTTCAGTTGTGTTGTAAGTCAGACCCAAAGTGTGATCGAGGTTTTAAAAATGTTTTTGGACTTACAATTGGTCGTTATTTTCGATTTTTTCTGTACATTCTATCGGAATTCAAACAAAAACCTGGTTTTGGGAGCCTTTAAGGCATCTACAAAGGTTTGACTAAGGTCGTTAGATTTATCTCAGCAAGACGAATTGAGTGACCGAATATTTTATCACGATCTTTGTAGAATATTCTGGTAAAATTCTAGAAGCAAAATATTTTTGAGTAGTTTTGAGACATCTACAGTGCAGCAAACAACCCTCTTTTCATTTTTCACTTTTGATCACCGATCTCACCACGTTTGGAGTTGATTCGTGAACAGGGCAAACATAAGGGATAACAAACTCCTAAAACAAATCAAAAGAAACAAATAGACAAAGAATAAAGAATTTTGTTGTATAAACTGTCTTGTAATTCATCTAAAGACAAACGTTTAAGAATTTTTGGCATGAATTTTTAATACTGGAACACTATGAATAAATTTTAGTCTCTCCATGACTGTAGATAATCTAGCCACTAGCTGTGAGATCTGAAGTTAGTTTGCTATATGAGTCTTTGAAAGAAACTTGCATGAAAGCATTTGCATTTGATGAGTTTTTAAGTGGTGATTTTTACATTGTTTATGTGGGTATTCTCCTGTTACATAGCTTCGTTTTGTTTACTTAGTTTCTTCTATTGGAGTGTTATTCCGTAATCTAGGCTTCAAAGATTACGTTTCGAAATTAAATATGGTGCTTAAAATGATGTTTGAATTTATTTTCCCATAGCATTTTCTGCCAATATTCCTTACAAAACTAATAAAAACATCAAATAAAAAAGTATTCCGCAAATATTTTCCTTATGTTTTAAACGTGAATAAAAGAGTGTCAGTACATTTTAGTCATACCTTATAGCCACGGTTATAAGGATATCTCAGAATAAATGTTAACTATTCTTTGGGATGGAAAGGTGTAGAAAATGATCACTTTTTGCCAATGAACATATAATGCGGGAATTTCATACAAAGACATTATGTGATATTTCTCTTGCTTTTTAGACAACTTCTTAAGTACAGGGCTCCATCGGGTCACGTTCGTCAGCAGTCACGGAGATTCTATGTATATGCATGTGCTATGTATGTGCGCCCAGTATTCAGGGTCAAATGTAACCTATATCTACTTATCTGAAATATTCCACTATATGTTCTTTGTCAAAAAGTGATCATTTCTACCCCCTTAGAAGTTTGTAACATTTATTCTGAATCCGAAGTGATGGTTAGTACGCCAGGGGGTTAATGTGGGTGTCTGTGTTTCAGCGTCGTCGGACTCGCCCGTGCTGTCCCCGTACCCCGACTGGGCGTCGCACAACACGTCGGCGCCCGCCTGGGGCCAGCTGCCGTCGCGCGTCGTGTCGCCCTTCCGCCTGCGCGCCGACAGCTGCGGCCGCCTCTGGGTGCTGGACACGGGCCGCGCCGACGTGCTGGGCGACGCGCAGCAGCTCGCGCCCGCCGCGCTGCTCGTCTTCGACCTGCGCACCGACCAGCTGCTGCGCAGGTGGGTCGCTGCTGGGCGCTGGCGCTAGCCCACTCGCATTCGGTGCAATGAGGCCTTGTTTTGAGTGGCGGGGCGCAGGCCTACTCTACCCGCTGATCACGCAGATTTCGCTACGCTCCTTTCGCCATCTGGCAGAGAAAGAAGGTATCCCTCGGGCGACGAAACAGGCGACTTTGAATTGAGCTCGCATGCTTCTTTCATTTTTTTTTTCATGCAGTTAACCTACAACATGGGAAAACCGACTTTACTTCCTCTCCGAAGGAAGGCGTACGAAGGATTTTTTATTAACACATCCTTAAAACATCCACGGCCTCCACTGGATTTGAACCCGCATAAAACAGTCCGATACATTAACCATGCGCCTTCACTTTCGTCCTTAATACCACACGAAACAGAGAACAAACGATCCGCTAATTACAAGGGCAAATCTACAACGTGTGTTCAGTGTTCATGTCTTCGTGCCTGCCTTACACCCGGGTGGACACGAAGGGGGCATCTCTTGGTCAGCTCCAGTCCAGTGTTGCGCGCTCGATCAGCTGGAAAACTTCAATGTGTTGCATTTTGTTGGCCGAGAGCCTTCGCAATCCCGGTTCAAGGTGAACGTTGTTCTTTCCCATTCTCGTTCCTTTCCGCTTTCCAGATCGCGTTCTCGTACTGCTATGAACGCGTGCGTGGCATGGCTATCTTTCAACATTTTTAGTTCCCGTTGACATTACCGTTTCCGTTTGAGGGTAATTGTAAAACAGTCCTAAGTCTCCTTTACATGGAGTCAATCGGCTGCGCTACGAGAACCACCGGAGCCCTTCGACAGACACCGACGAGCGCCACTAAGCGTGGGAAAGGAAGGATTTGTGAGATACCGCTGTGGGGCCAGCGGCCGCATGGCAGGCGTCTTGGCAAGCCTCATGGCAGGCAGCGAGGCAGCTCAGTGGCGTTTATGTGTGGTCTAGTGAACGCTGTCACTTAGGACTGTGTTCTGGTTGCGGAAGTGCGTCTGCGCTGCTCCTGGTGGCAGTTTGCCACCAACCACCACAGCAGCGCCACCGCACCGCTCGTGTGAATGCCTCCATTTAAACCAACGAGCTAGAATACTCTAAAGAGAGTGGCTGACTCCATGGTTTCAGCGCTCTTGGTGGACGCTCGAAGAACTAGGGACCGCCATGTTTTTGTCAGTCAAAACACGAGAGGTGCCTAATGATGGCGTGTAGAATTGTACTGAATTAACGTGTTGTTTGTAGCAGATCTTATTTCTATATTGTTGTCTTTTGGGTTATCTGTATTTAAGTTATATTAGAGATTAGAATAATAATATTCACAATGCCTTCAGTATTTTCGTCATATAACTGTAAAAACATACCTCAAATATATCATTTTTCAAGTTTGCTGCCTTATTTCTGTTCTGTTTGTTTGCTTCTTATTGCAATAACTTTCACTTTCAGGCGTTATGCTAACTACAAAAAAAATTCATCACCTTGCTTTCTTATGACAATAACCGATGCAGGAAGCAACGTGTTTTTAATGTTCCTCAATTCGTTCTTCTTACATCTTGTGATTTCGTGTTTAAATGATTGGGTTTTGGTCGTGAAGCACAGAGTAAGAGGGATTTATATTACGCGCAGCCCGCACCTACTCGGCCTTAATCAGCGCTTAACGGAATACTAGAATAATCTGTTTCTCCAGAGGGTGTTGTTTCGACTGAAAAATCAGGGCATCAATTTGCTGCAAAGATGGAGGTGCTTCAGACACTGTATGTAGTTTATTCTAGCTCGTTGGTTTAAACCAAAGCGTTGCCAGCAACAGCGCAGAGAGTGCTGCCGAGCGCCTGTGTTAAGGTGCGGTATCTCGATGCGCTAGCTGACGACGGCGTGTTGCAGGTACGAGGTGCCGCGCGACCAGCTGATGGACTCGAGCTTCCTGGTGAACCTGGCGGTGGACGTGTCGCCCACCGGCTGCGAAGACACGTACGCCTACCTGGCCGACATGGGGTCGTACGCGCTCATCGTGTACTCGTGGGCCGGCAACGAGTCGTGGCGCGTCACCCACAACTACTTCCTGTCGCACCCGCTGCAGGGCGAGTTCCGCGTGGCCGGCACGCGCTTCCAGTGGCCCGACGGCATCTTCGGCCTGGCGCTGTCCAAGGCCAACCGATACAACCACCGCACGCTCTACTTCCACGCCTTCGCCTCCACCTCGGAGTTCCAGGTGCGTCGCACGGCCTCGGTCGCATTCCGCGCTGGCATCGCTCGGCCGGGCACACGCCCGCCCTTGTCATTCACACTCTGAAGACTGAGGGACCCCGCGATTAAATTTGGTTAAATTGTTATATTTGTGAAATGAATCTGCCCTGTTATAGATATTTCTCTCTCTCTCTCCCTGGGTGTGTCTCTCCCCCCCCTCTCTCACTCTCTCTCTCTCTCTCTCTCTGTCCCTCCCTGTCGCACATCGCATGTTACGTACTCGCGCACGTTTATTTATCATAAGGGGTCGCTAAAGGAGCTAGCAGAACGAAAAGTAAATACCAACTTAATTTGTGTGAAGTAGGAAGCCTTTTTTAATATCCTCCCCTATTAGTAAAGTTTCATAACTAAAAATATTTTTGTCACTGAAATGAACGATAACTCGACGAATCATCCCCCTCCTTACAGTTGACAGAATCCAAAAAATGAATTGTATTCCATCTTCTTTCGAATGCAACGTCTTTGGAGTTTTTGCGGTAAATCGTGTATCTAGAGACATTTCCGTCTATTATACCAAAATGTCTCAAATTAGATTCTTGTTTTTGAAGTGCACTTTTCAGTACTCCCCAATCCACCTCATCATACAATTTAGGCAACGCTCTTCCGCCAAAAGCGTTTACGAAGTTCGTATACCCCAAACATAACTTAATTCGTAACATGTAAGTCCAGGAAACCCCAGATATTTTTCCACTCTCCATGCAGATGCGCTTCCGAGTTAATTTTTCGCAGTCCACGTCGAAAATGAATTTTCATTGCTAATCGCTTTGTCCGTGAAATCGTAATGACGGTGTAGTAATTATTTTTTTATAAAGACATATGACTGAAAACAAACTTCGTGAACCACAGATTGAGGATAACATTGAATACAATAATGCTCATGTTCAGATTGATGAATGTGATAAAATGTACATAAGTCAAATAATGAGATCTTAATCAATAATGGCAAGTGATAGTGATCAATGCTAGCTATGAATTGTTCAAACAGCATAGATTGAAGTTATCATTCTCTAAATACCACCCAGAAGGCGTCACAAATAACTTGGGAACTCGAAATAATTCTCGTCCTAATTAAGGTGTTGATTATTGATGCTTTTAATAAAATATAATTATAAAAGGCCTTTCAATTTTTGTTAGGATTAGAAGGAAAATATCATCTTAATCAATGTCTAATTTTTGTTCATTGGAAAATTTGGATTCTTTCGAATTTGTCAGTTTATTTAAATTTAAATGGTTGCACATAAGTTTTTCTTACGAAAACAACATATATTTTAATACGTTAGTTTGAAAATAATTAAATACTTCTAAATATTCCTACTTTTTGTACCCTTCCAAATTAAATATTGGTATTGTGTCCCTGACGTCCAGTTGTGACTTATTAAGCCGTCAATTACTGGTCAATCGCAAAAAGACTTTATTGACTCTTTTTACTTCACACAACTACACCTACATTGCGTAAGCAGAAGTAGACACGGAAGTTCTTGTGTCAATTTCAACATGGGTGCAGGAAAAAAACTTGTGATTCAGAAGTAATTGTCTCAAGGCGACCACAAGTATTTTGTTAGCAACATGGGCTACAATGAATCGCATTGGCAGAAACATTAGTCATTTCTAAGAACACTGATCATTCTGAAGATCCAGCTCGAGGTAAACCGCCTTCGTCATACCCTCAATGCCGAGACTAACACCCACGTAGCAAAATTGAAAGAAATCATGTAAAGAATAAGCATTTTTTATTCCTAAAGAAATCGTGAATTTTTATAATCTTAAATCTCTGAAACAAAAACGTATTTGACGGATATTGCATCTGTGAAAAATTAATTCGTAAGAATACTTAAAACTTGCATTTATAAAACGGCAAACCTCTATCTTGCTCTGTATTATTTAAATTAATATTTACATTTGCGCTTGTGCTCTTATTCGAAACACTACAGATGCGATCCTTTCAAATCTTTACAATACTAGCATACTTCGTTGTGCGTCTTAGTTTACCTGCATTCTCTCCAACATATACGAGTATAAAAAAAAGCAGTTTGGAGATTGTCTGTAACATTTATAATGGAAGTGTCGTTGATTAAAACAAAGTGAATCATGTGGTGAACACTTGAAAGTTAAAGGTTTTATTGTACAGAACTTTTAGTTGTCGTTGGTGATTAGGTTTCAAAATAAAACTATGATATCGTTGAGATTTTTTTCTTTAATCTTGGGACACGTGATGATGTTTTCCCCCGTGAATTACATTTGAAACTGACGAGAGACGTAAGAAAAAGTTGCGGTTTAATTGTTTCAAGAAAGATTTCGGGAATTGAAAGCGAAAATCACGTGAAGTTGGGACAAACCAGGGGCCGTTTGAGATTTTGCGGAGAAGTTTATTTTGAAACCAATGAAGCCATAAACTGTTATGTGTTTTGTCAACTACTACAGAGACGTTGTCTCGCGTTGACGGTCGAGGAAGATCGCAGGTAAATCCGGAGGCGAATCGAACTGGCAAATCCTAGCGCGCAGAAGGCACGTAACCGCCGCCTTCGCCGCCGCCGCCGCCGCAGGTGACGCCGAAAGGGGGTCATTGCCAGCGGGCGCGCGGCCCCTCGCGAGGACACGCCGTCCCCCGCCTCGCCCCGCCCCCGGCCCCCGCGCCCACGGCCGCGGACCTCGGCCATCGCGTCACTACTTCACCCACGCGGACACTACAACACGGCCCTTCCCACTTCGAGCTGGACGCAAGCTACACATGAGGAGAGAGTTCATCGTGCACCGACGTCAACGTCCCAGCGAGGACGGCTCTGATTAGTTGGGTACACCACATTTACACATCAGCAGGCATTTTTGCGCGGGTTTCTTAGGCCATCGTTCAGGCGGCGTCTTCTACGACTTCCTGCCCTTGCCCACAGAACCGGGCGTTGAAATATACTCGCCTTGCTGTCCATTTCGAAGTCTAAAGATCGTGTGTACGAAACTCCTCGGCCACGTCGAGGCATTGCACTCGAAGTGGGAAGTGGATTGAGTCAACGGAGGTCGACCTGCCATCTGAGGGACCTAGGCTTTGAATTACACGTGTGACTGAAGTTAGTGCATGCTTCCTGAGTCATTCATCCATCCTAGCTTCTCATCGTTCTAAAGCTCACGAGTGCCATATTCTAAAATTAGGCTTTACTCTTGTTTATGATTTCGACAGTGAAGGTCAATTGAGAGTAATTGTTCCTTTTAAATAAACAACGCATGAAAAAATAAAGATTTTTTTTGAACGCGGTCATAAAGCGGAGTATCAAGAGAAAGGCGATATAAAATGCTAAATTTACATAAACAGTTACTGTAGGTAACCCTCAAGAACTGGAAATTATTAAAGTTTTAAGACACAGCAAAAACGCTATTTTGGTGTTACCGAAATCAGAGACAGAACTGGTTTTGCTTTATTCATGGTTTAATGGTTATAGAGTATAGCTTTCCTCATTAAACAAGGAAATTTCCTCTCTAGAACATTTTTTGCTGGAGAGTAGCAAGAAAAGTTCATGCTTCTGTTCCATAGCTCTGAAAGCATGTGGCCTTAACATTCTACTGAAAGAAACGTGAAAGAACATGAACTTTGACTTTAATGACGAGCGTGGTGGGGAATGGCAACACCTTTTAATGGTTAACTTTTTCACGGTTAAGTCATCATTTTTGCTCTGAAATAAAGTCTACGCTTTCCACACAATTACGAATTTAAAAAACAAAACTTCTGCAGGAACTGAATGTTTGTTTCTAATCAAAATCAAGTAAAATACTTTCAAAATTACACATTTGATTTTATTGCTATTGTATGTTCGTTTAATATGTGAAAAGTGACTAGTAACGGCTGATTATGTAAATTGGGTATCTTTTATTTCACGAGATAGGAGTCAGGAATATTAAAAGAAATGAAGGGAATTCAGAAAAAGGTATTTTCAAAACCTTACTATAACAGGAATACGCCAGGTTTAGAATGTAGCCTTAGATTTTCATTCTTGGAAATAATTTTCATGCTTTTCTCGAAAATGGTGAGTTGTGAGTTAAAATATTCTTCTCAAAACACCTGCAAGCTCTTACCTTCTCTACTATGAATTCTTCATTGTATTGATCATTGAGAAGAACAGTAATAAAGGTTTCTCTATAAAACTTCGAAATCGTCGTGAAAACATGGCAACAGCCTACCGAAGCATCGAATTTCCACATGCTCACTTTTTATCACCAATCCAACCGTTTCGGTTTTCAACACAACGTTTGGTTAACGTAAGACTGTTTCACAGCATGTCGGAGTAGATTTTTCAGCTTTCACTCCGCGGCCAACTTAGCAGCGCTTAAGAGCGAAGGCCGCGAAGTGGGGGAGAAACACGTAGTCCTCAGAGGCTTCGCAGTTCACTGCCGCTCCATACCCCTGCAATAGAAAAATATAGTAGCCTTAGCACATGCGCGACTCCTACTGCGTAGCAGCGTGGTCTGGATGGCATGACTCTTCGTACCGATACTTCAGATGAGTAGGTGCGAGTTTTCATACATCAACCGTGTCCTCATCCTCATTTTGGAAAGAGGATGTGTTATCGCTTTTTCTATCTGATTTTTCTTACCGCTTCTCCCAACTGGCCAATCATAAACTGTGACTCGTCTGTCTTAGGAGGCGGTATAAATTGATCGCTATATTGATGTCCAATAAACTGCGTATGTACTATAACATAACATCGTTGATTTTAAAATAACTTTAAGTTATTTTAAATATTCGGCGCATTTTGAATTCTTTTGGGCATAATTTCGTTCATGGAGTAGTCCTAATAAATACCACTCGTGCCGTCGAAATTCTCATATAATTCCCCTCCTCACTTCGCGAGTCGAGAATTTATCGACAATTTCCAAAGCACTCGTATTACAATGTTTTCTTACTCAAAATAGGAACGTTAAAATATCTGCACCGAAGCCATTATGAAAGAGTTTACAGTTGCATTTGAGAAATTGATTTTCTGAACAACACAACAGGAAACATGTTTGATTGTTAACACTTGTTGAAATGTACGTTCAGCGATGTAACAGACAGAGCTTGGTGCATAGTTTATTCGTGGTTGAGGCCAACGAATTGGAGATATATAGTTACAAAAGAGAAAATGCAGTGTCTCGCCAGCATTGCTTAATGTTTATAAAAAAAATTCACCAATATTGGCCAAAAAATATTGTTTTGAAGAAAAATAAATTAAAATCATTAAATCAATTTTCTTATTTTTTTGGAAAGTCTAATAAACAACCAAATAAGTATTAATTAAAGAATTTACTATACGAGTTGGAAAAGGGACGTTTCATTTTGCGAGTAGGAAAATGAAACCACTTTAAACATATGTCATACACAATTTTTAGACTTCATTATCGAATTTCCTTTGTTTCAATTCAAGTATACAAATAAAATAATTGCGTACTATGTTACAATAAAATCTGTTGTAGCTGATCAGACAAAATTATTTTGTTTTCTTTATTGCATTTCCAGTTCCATCTGATTGCACTTCTGCATGCATTTCTGCATTGTCTCACATTTAACCTCAGTGCAAATTGTTGAACTTTTAGCAAGTTGTGCAGGCAATGGTTTACCGTGCGGTGAAGACAACGGTAAACAATTGTGCAACCACAGTTTACTAGTGGCTGTCTCAAAAATGAAACAGTTCTTTTAAATGTAAATTGGAACAATACATGCCTGAAGGGCTATGATTAGCATACTGGAGATGAAGCACGGATCGGTCGGATGAGATAATATCGCGGGTAAGGAATAATTCATCTCTAGAGGTCAATAATAAAGTATTGAATTAAAGCGAGTGAGAAAGAATTATGAATACATTGAGTAACTAGAAGTGGCCTGCAGCTTTAAAAATGCTGGCGAAATATAAAAGACTAGTACGCATACTGCTCAAGAAGAACAAATAAAATACTCTACGTATAAACTCTACTTATACACTCTACGTATAAAACTCCAGTAAATTAAATATTTTAATAAAAAGTCTTAACAAATACTGCAGTAAGATGTAGCACATACGGAAATATATTACAAAAATTCTTTACATACCAAGTATATAAAAAATGTTTCTGTTTCATGACTCAACACGGAAATAAATACTTGCTATCGTATGCTATGGGCCTTGCTATCGTATGACGTTAGTTGTGTCATCAGCAGTGACGCACTGAGTATGAGGATTCATTCAGAACGCGTAGTCTGTGGGAATGCGAGAATAGGTGGAATATCACAATCAAATATTTGTGTTTTTCAGTCATAATGAAAACTGTGTCATTTTAGGATTTTCCACGTTTTCCCATCTGAGGAAGCCTTAGGCACCACTGTCATAGTCGAAGACTGCATAGTTTTCTTTCAATTTCTGCGCTCATGGGAAATTAGTAGTATACTATAGCAATCAAGGGATACAGGCTATGTTCTTCGGTAGCTCCTGTTCAGAAGAACAAGATAATGGAATAATGATAGGCGGAGTGTAGGGGAAATAATAATGTGTCGAATTCATTTCAAAAGATTGAAAATCAGGAATGGCAAACCCCTGATGTGATTAGACTAGGCCAGCTCAAAACAGAGGTTGTGAGACGACCACCCAGGCCATCGGCTGGCAAGCAGGTGTCGTATCAGGTCTACGTGCAATACATTTAAGGTCAATCCAGGGGAAGATTACGTTTGCACAGGGGAGGGGGCGACATCGTCCAACAGACGTGACCTCAAACATTCATTTGTGTAAGAAAATTATAATTCTGATTTATTTGAGTATTTCTAATCACCAGATAATGTACGGGGCGGAATAACAATATTAACGTTTCTAGTCGGCAAAGACTCCTTTTGTTGATGTTTTTGAGGGATTTTCGATCCGTCTCTCTCAGTATATCTTTTTTTAAATGATTGATTCATGTTTACGGGTGCTTGAACTGCTATAGTCATTAGTCCCGTAAGTGTACGACATGCTTTATCACGGTAGGTGGCGGTGTTCTTCTCCCGCTGAATTGTAAGATGGCAGCGCCAATCTAAATGTTGGCTTGAGTGGTTTCCCTATCAAGGTAACTCCCTCCAGCGGGGCTCTTCCTGCGGGAACAAGCAAGTGTAGTGCAGACAAGTGTAAGCGAGGATAGGACAAGGAAAGCGAAGAAATGATTGCGCGCGGTCCGTAGCCCGTTTGCGAGGGTACTGCTCCGGCATACGCCTGGCGTTGATTTGGGAAACCGAAAAACTACCAATCAGAGCTGCCAGCCGATAAAATTGTCTTCTGAACAGCAGCTGAATTCGAAAATACTGTCACCTTCAGGACTCGAACCCAAGTCAGAGTCAATGCAATCCTACCCCCTTGACAGAGGCATTGCACTGACATCACCTCAGTCGGCGAGAAGGGAAAGGGGTGGAAGAGGATGGGTTCCTAGTGATTCAACAGAGCCCTGAAACGAGTTCGTTGGGCACGCCTGGATTAGCGCGATTACTGCCTGAAGCAGACGTACAATGCTGTGGCTTGGGTAAACATGTTCTGCTAAGAATGCGATCCATCTCCGGCATTCGCTCTTCCCACGAGGCAGGTGCGCGTTTGCCTGGCGGCCCTCTCAAGGCACCTGCGCGTCTGGAGTGGCCGTCTGGAAGTGACGTCATCTCGGCTGCAGAGGGCTCGGCTGGGCAGCCTCCTGCCGTGATTTGCGAGATTTCTTTTCATTAGTCGCGAGTGGCCACTTGATGTAATGGGCCGACCCGCGACGGCGAGAGAAGATGCTTTTACATACTTCCGAACTTTTCACACTCAAACACACACACACACACACACACACACACAAATAGATGGAGGGCGAGATCGGAGTAAGAAATTTCTGGATCAATTTTTCCTCCAAACCATTGTTCCCAAAGTGTATATTTGTCATGAATTCGTTGCCAAGAGAAATGTTCATAAATCTTCGCCAAACATGAAACAAGTCTTCAATATTTTCTTTTTTATATAATAGATAAAGAGGATGTAAATTCTTTAAGACACAAATCTAATCGCGATATAGCCAATTCCCCATAAAATGTACATAATTGAAATATATGTTACGCAATTGGTACAGACATCTTACTGTGAAACTTTCATGAGAAAATCGTATTCAGTATTACAGCATCATTTATTAAACAGCATTTAGTGGAATAAACTGATTACTCTAAAACATATTCTTCTTCCTCTAGGCAATTTTTGGATGATCAAAAGTAATAAGAATTATTTGAGCATATTTGAACTAAATCGGCATTTATGTATATGAGGCTTTCTGAAATTAAGAGCTCGGTCGTAAAATAAGATAACTCTCAAAATTGTAGTTTTTGTATGACACTAATATTTGCCGCCTACCATCTGTCGCAAATGCAGTGTGACACTGAAACAGTTCAATTTATGGTTCATAATTGGCATTTACACTAATTTTTCTGTAACGCGCTTCAACTCCTTTTCCCAACATGTCCACTTGCTTATATCTTTAAAGCGTTTCCTTGTGAGTCATCATTTTTATAGCCAAACCCTTCCGATACTATTGAAGAGGATAATAATTGTGCTGTGTGCTTTCAGGTGTCCACGGAGATCCTGCAGAACAAGACGCGTGCCTTGAACAGCTTCCACGAGTTCCACCTGGTGGGCGACCGAGGCCCCAACACGCAGTCCTGCGCCTCCTTCATGGACGAGGAGTCCGGCATAGCCTTCTACACGCAGGTGCGCGAAGTGCTTATTAACGACGTGAGGCCGGTATAGAGCGAATGAAGGACGCTGCGGAAGTTGCAAACCGAGATGATAGCCTTTGGTTCATTGATTTTTCGTGTTTCCGGGCGCGTCGACTGTTACGGTCATTAGTCCCGTAAGTGTTCCACAGTGGCATTATCACGTGAGGTGACGATGTTCGCCGTGCTTGGGGTAAGATCCTGCGCCGACCTACACGTGTCTGTGAAAGGTTTTCCCCCTTACACGTATCTTTCCACGAGCGGGACACAGCTGCAAGCTGCACCCGTGACAAACTCTAAGCTCCCGATTTCTCTTCCAGCATGAGTGGCGGTGTAGTACATGTAAGTGTTGAAGAAGTGACAAGATCAGCCGTAAGACACATATTACGTCATAAAATACATATTACCCTTAGTGGTGAGGACAAGAAGTGTAAATACGTGGCTAGTTTGTTGGGGCTCTGCTCCGGTATTTGCCTAGCGTTGATCGGAGGACGCACGGAAAACTACCAACCAGCGCTGCCGGCCTCGAGAATTCTCCTTCAGATAGCTTCTGAATTCGACTTATCTGTCTAGGTTGTGTCGAAAATCCTGCCACTATCGGGACTCAAACCCTAGGCCTTCCCGGTCTGAAGCCTTTGAAGGTGATATTTTATAACCAACCAAGTAGGTTATTGGTCATATCGGGCGTGCCTCATTCAATAGTTTCTTTTTAGAAAAAAGAGTATACATAAGAAAGCGAAATGCATTGTTTTTGAATATAAGTTCTCGTACGCCATCTTTTTAATTACTCGTAAAACTCATTTGTTTGATTTGTTTTTAATTGGTGCCGGACTGTTCTATTATTAGTTATAAATATTTTACGTATGTCTATTAGGTGTAGAGATAAAAATTGTTTACTTTTAGACGGGATAATTTACGAAAAGTACTTTAATGATTGTAAGAAGATAGCACTAACATCAACTTTAGTGGAACTGTGCGTCCAATTCATGTAGCAATTAATTAAGAGTTAAATAATATATGTTATGAAATTAAGAGTTATTATTATTATTATTATTATTATTATTATTATTAAGAGTTAAATAAATTATGTCATATTTGTTAAAAGTGACTTTTTTGTTATTTAAGGTCGCATCAGTTACTAGGTCATTAGCGACCACTATTGCGTGCAACGGTATGGTAACTCGAACCCGCGATCCTTCGGTCAGAGATCCCTAAGGCCTTAGCGATCTCGGCCATCCGGATGGGCAGTCATGACTTTTGATGGTGTGAGGACTTTACAATCAGTTCCTTGCTTAAGTTGTTCTTGGTCGGTTCGCAAGCGGCAGCCCTGAAGGAAGTTCCGGGCAGTGTGTCTCTCGGGTGCGCCCCACCTCGCGCGCGGGCCGCTGCCAAAAACGACTCGTGACTTGAATGCGTGCCTGCCTGCCGGGCGTGGATGCGTCGCACGTCGCCCTTTGTGCGGAGAGCGACGCGGCCTCCTGGTCGAGGTCTTCGGCCACGGCACCCACCGGCCACTTCTCGGAAGGCGGACGCGGCCTGGCACAGAATCAGCTTCGCGAAGGAAACTGCACGGACTTGCACGCAAAATTAGGCGGAAAATTCTCGAATTTTCGAAAAATTGTACTTGACCTTATTTAAAAATCTATCTTTAAGAAAAACATTTCATTAAGGGAAGATAGATCTATCTTCATAATGATCGTTGTAGGAAGACGCCTAAGAAAAATTGAATTTTTGCAATTGTCGAAAAATCAGTAATAATCAATGTTTTCAACGAAATTAGGACCTGCACTATTCTCTTAAACGTTCTTCAGACTATCCAACAACAATGTAATCAAAATCGATGATGTAACTTTTTGAAAAATTTGATAATGTCCCAGGGGCTTTACATAAAGTGCCCCACAAAATTAAATTATTGGTGTCAAACTCAAGGGTACGCGACATCAGCCATATCGATTAGGGAATATAAATTTTAGAGAAAATCGGCTGAACGGTTTAGCCGCTAGCATTGGTCACAGACGGACGAACAGACGTTTTGCCAGCATGCAGCGGACGGACAGCGCACGGGCGAAGGTTTTGCCGTCGATCGATTTTTCGGTTCGAAGGTCCCACAAAACGAATTTTGGCTACACCACGTGTTAGAGGATTTTTTATAAATTTAGCAACAGGATTGATCAATTTTTCCTTATCAGAGCCTGGCAATAAGCGCTTTTCTGCCCAAAATTCACCGTTTTTTCGCGCAGCATTTCATAACTCTCTACTGCGTAAGTGGTAGCGAGGTAGCGAGAAAGTAAAAAGTCTTCTTATATATTTCAGAACTAATGTTGTGTATATTCATTTAATACAATCCATTGCGTAGGAAATAATATTTAGGGATAGCGGCTTCGTCAATTTTTCGCTTTTCATCATATTTTGCAAACTTTTGATTTATTAAATTATTTCAAAACCATCATATATACGACTTGAAATATTTTATATGTTAAGGATTATGCGTCAGTTTTATTTAACATAGAGCGTAAACACGCTCTATACGTAAACATTTTCTGCTTTCTTACGTTTAATGTTAGAGTTAAACTAGAAATACGGTAGGATATCTGGAAAGAAAATGGGTAACTCGATCATGCGACTAAGTTAATTAAAGAAAAGCAGTTAATCATACTAAGTCATTGGAGCACCAAACAGCAATAGTCGCGGCTGATCGCACTCTCTTGGGCGAGCTGTCACTAAATTGAACCCTGCTGATGATGCCACACCTGTCGTAGAATCTCTTGAAAATAACTTTGGATCACTGTCATGATGAATTGAACCGATGAGAGCACTCTGTTGATGAATATTTGAAAAAATAAGATTGATTTGAGAACACTTATAGTACCTACATCAAAACAAGAAGGCGATGCAATCATTCAAAGCGCTTTTTGCAATAAATTAATACGCCGTTTGCATTCATGCAGTGCGCCACTTGCATCATTCAAAACGCCATTTGCAATCTTTCAGCGCGTCACGATTGACGTATGCACAACAGGTTGACCACCCTTGATGAGTAAATTCCTGAGCTATTGACCCCCCAGCTGATGTCATTAGTATCGCCTTGGTATGTAGTGGTGCTTAAAAAAATCATTGAGGGTGCTTCTCGCTACGACCCTTAATTCAATAAAGCAGTGTAATATCGTTTAGAAAACAAAAGTGATTTGTGGATATTGAGGTAATCGTTTTCCCGAAACTACTTCAAAGAAAAATAATTCATGCCGTAAAAATAGAAAAGAGTTTAAATGAAGTGCATTTTTAGTTTTAGCACATGAATTAAAAGTAATGTTACATGAAGTTCATACATTATAATGAGCTGTTAATTGTGATGAGAAATTAAAAACCTAAAAATGTTAAAAATTTTGCAAGTTATGAATCGATTAAACCCGAATGTGAAGATTAATGATTCTACATAATATATGTCAGAATAAATGGTACACACTTTTGGGGCATGCAGAGGGGCCAAAAATGACCACTTTTTACCAATAAACATATAGTTGGAAATTTCATATAAAGGAGCTGTATGCGATTATACATACGGCATTTCCCCTTGATGTTCAGGCAAATCCGTATACACAGGTTCTCGGTAGGTACGTGAAACCTTGACTGCATGATAAAGTGACCTCTGCATAAGACGTCGCCGAAAAATCAAGCGGTAATGCTACTGTGAAACTGTTAAATGAAATTTCCCACTACACGTTCATTGACAAAAAGTGATCATTTTCTACCTCCCCTTTATATCCCAGAAGTGTAATATTTATTCTGAGACACACTGCGTGCTGCAGCAACCTATAAAAACATTTCGAGCTTCTATCAGAAGTTTGTGCAATTTATTTCATTGCAAGTACTAGTGCACTTTTCATCATTGCTCATGGGAACTCTTTATGAAATCTCTCGTTGCCTCCAAAATCATTGGTACGATCGTATCCATTTTACTTACTGTCGTTACATCGCATTCAGTACACCAGTGCAGAATATATGTTGCATAAATGGTTTATTATAGCGATGATTGTCTATGTAAATGTTTACGGCCATTGTGAAAGGGAAGGTTGTGATTGTGTCGTGAAACGTGCGCCTCTGCCCGTAGGTGAACCTGGACGCCATCACATGCTGGAACTCGCGCACGCGCCCGCACTACGAACCCACGACCATCGGGCTGGTGGCGCAGGACAACCGCACGCTCGTCTTCCCCAACGACGTGAAGGTGGACGCGGGCGGCAACGTGTGGGTGCTCACCGACCGCCTGGCGCTCTTCCTCTACAGCTCGCTCGACCCCAAAGACGTCAACTTCCGGTGAGTGTCTGACACGCCTCTCGCGCTGGCACGTCTCTGCTAACCAAGAACGCGTGCTGTTGCAGGCTGGAGCCCCACTGTGTCCAATGGTCGGGCTACTGGGTTTCTGGGTCACTGGTGCTCTTTCCATTATTATTCATTTGGTCGTAAATTCTAAAAGATGATAATGCAGGAATGTATGTAGAAGTTATACTAGCGCGTTTAAACGTTAGTATTCAGGTTAGAACTGTTCCCATGACTTCAAATATCAAGAAAGGTATTGTAAACTCAGTGATGCAAATTGCCGAAATGGAAACTTATCTAGCCCTCGCTGCAATTAGTTGTAAAGTTGTAAAAATGAAACTAAACCAGATTAAATGCATCTTCTCTTTCTTTGGAAATGTAAGAAGTATGTGATAAAAACGAATAAATGCATGCTTCAATGAAATAATTTCATAAGCAAATGACAAAAATGCATTTTTGAGAATCTGTTCAAAGCACTTTTTCATATGTTCAACTAATTTATTGCGATGGAAATAATTAAATTTCGTGAAAACAGTAATGATAAATCTAAGAATACCATCCGTTCGGAGTTGGCAGAGCCAACGTGTGAATCATCTTTTAACTGTTTAGACTTTAAGTTTAGACTTTATTCGGAAAATTATTTACCCATTTTCTGGTTTTGTGCCAGAGTTTATTCGAGGGTGTTTGTGAATGAGCAGTTACTCCTTGTTCACATTTAAAGGATAAATAAATATAATTAATTTTATTGATAAATTCAGAAAATACATCTGATTTTCTATATACGCCCTATCTATTTCTTACATGCTACTTATCTCTGTTATCCGGTGTTCAAATTTCCTGGAATCTACTTCTTCGGGGTAGGTTACAAATAAATCGTAAGTTTGAAAAACGGCAGGGCTCTAATATGGAACATCGGGATTCGGGAAAATAATTATGATTGATTTAAGAATGAATTTTGAATAGGTCACATGAAATTAGAAAATAAATTAGAAAAGAATTGCTAACAAAAAACTATTTGTGCTAAAACAATTTGGTGCTGAGTTGGTGAGAATTACTTAACATTTACTTTTTAATGTTATAAATGATGGTGAAGGGTTTTAATTTAGCTTTTAATGGACACATTTGAGCGAATAAAGAGCTATTGGTTGATTACTCCGGAGAGTGTCGATTTACACTGCTTTCGCCTGCAGCATCCTGACGGCGACCGTGCAGGAGGCCGTGAACGGCACCATCTGCGACCCGGCGTACTCGGGCCCGGAGCCCAAGCTGGAAAACCACCCGCTGGAGTCGCGCTTCGGCGGCGGCAGCCTGTGCGACCGCTCCGCCGCGACCACCCCCGCCGCCGTCGCCGCCGCCCTCGCGCCGCTGCTCGCCCTCGCGCTGTGGGGCCGCCGCGACGCCTGCTAGCCCCCCGGCGCCCCCCGGCGCCCCCCGGCGCCCCGCGATGGCCGCTAGGTGTGCGGAAGCAAAGAACATTTTTCGCTAGAGTTAAGTAGTCTTTCATCGTCGTTCAAGAGCTCTGTGTTTAAGGAGGATGTTGTGAGTGTTGGAGGATTCTGCGGTTCATCAAATTCACAAAAAAATGAATGCTGAAAAATGAATGTAAATTGCTAATCGTGTTATGAGAGTATTCATAACGTAAGGAAGTTTTCCAACACTTTAAAATACTATATTAATAAATGTTAGAAATACATGAATAGAAATAATACAATAATTTATTTTTGTTGTTGAAGGTGGGTAACATTTCACAAGTTAAATTTCTAAATAGTGTTAGTACTCGAACATGGTTTGAAAATTATAGAAAATACTGTGATTAAATTTAGGCACGTTCAACACTTAATGAAGGTGCAAATGTGAATTTTAAAGGACGACTTTATCATTTTGAGGATATGTACTGATTTTGCAACATTTTTTTTGAATATGTGATTTTATGTGAAAAATATTTGTACTGAATCGTCTAATGGCAAAACCGGTTCTTTAAAAAATATGAAAATGGATATTTTAAATGTGTTCTGTTTTTCATTCTTTTTTATATATGTTTGTAATGCGCGAAGGAATACAATGGCCCCAATTATGCCTTGAGAAAACAAGATTCAGTTGTAAATGCAGCTATCTGTATGTTTGTATGTCAAAATACCGGCCATCTACTTTCTCAGTAGAAAACAATGCAGTATTACTTATGGAGGTATTAGTTACTTATTATTAAATATGTAACATATTAATATATAATTATTACTGGTTTTGCTTTAATACTGAAATAAAACGTCTTTTAAATATTTTCAATTCAATGCCAATGTGGCAGTTTACAAAATTAAAATTGATGTATTTCAATAATACATTACCAAAACTTTACTCTGACTTCAATTATAATAATATAGTGTTTAAAAATACTACTTGGAATAAATTAATATCATAATGAAGCAATTCGTTTAGATATAATACATGTATGTATTTTTTGACAATTTTGACTGTTTTGGAAGCGTGGGATTTGCAACTAGACGACTCAATTTACCCCTATTTTACATTTAATTTTTCTTTGTATTTTGATAGAAGTACTCGAATACAAAATCATATTTGTGTATTGTAGAAGTAGATAAATTGGAGAAGACTGATTAAGAATAATTTATTATTTCAGATCATCTATCTCAATGGTAAATCTGTGTTTATGATGGTTGATCTTTTGATAAACTCTGTTCTAAATTGATATTGAAATTAATAAAAAAGTACTAAAGCTACATTCGGTTTGTTTTTAATTTTATATTTTTTGTGGTGCGCGTTAGATTATAGGAAGGTATCCCATAATTTATAGAACAGTGCTTATTAATAAAAAAACAATAAATGTAAAAGCAACTTCATACAGTATTGGTTTTCTAAGCCAATAGTAATAACTAGTAACGCCGAATACGTACGCCTACAATTTAACAATTTACAAGTAGGTAATTTGAGTTGTTAGGTCTCTGAGAAAGCATGCACGTAGTATAAAGAAGCATTATCATCTTACCTAAATCTATGATTATGTATAATTTTTCGTACTATGATCTAAATTGTTTAGTATACAAGCGAGCGCACAACAAGTGATTGATCATAACCAGTGCTTGATTTATAAAATCTTAGGTCCATGAATGCACCCCAAATTAGTTATTAGCTTTTATAGAAATAGTTATATATTTATAATATTATTTATTATTTCCGGGGTACCGGAACGCCGTACCGTCGCATTCCAGCAGAAACCAAGCCCTAGTCATAATCATTCATGGCTGCAATTCATTTATATAAATCTATGAAAATGTATGTGTGTGTGTATATATTACATTTTGTGATATAAATTATTAGGATTATTTATATTAGGAAGTATTAACTGTTCACTAATGACATAGAATTATTGCAGTTATTTGTAACTCCGGCGTCATCGCCCCGTCATCTTATTAACGCAACATCATCGACATATGAGTAATGTACCCTTATTTTAAAGAAATGCTGCCCAATTTAATGGTGAAGTACCAGCTATTATTAACTACTTTCAAGTGGATCAAACGTTAAGTTTCATCATTGTGAATTTGACGTAAACGTCTTGCTAGTATTTATGAATAATATTGTAAAAATGCTATTTTCTCACACTTGTTTGCGCTACATACACGTAGAATTCATGAAATTATAAAGAAACAACAATTTAAAACATATTTTAGCTTTTTGATTTGTTCTTCAAACAGTTTTCAGGGATGATATCATAAGACATAATAATCAAGTCTATTACGCTGACCTCTCCACTAGGTACTAGTGCATGACGCCGTGTGCTCTGTGAATGAATTCAAAGGATATTTAAATCAATGGATCGGTGAATTTAATTCATATGAGCTCTCTGACCTTGAATGAGACCAACATAATTTCATTCGATACCAGTATTTTTGAGACTTCGGCACTTACCAAACCTCGGTGCCACAATGTGATATGGGAAGGAGTGAATGTTCTGACAAAGAGACCTCACGTCTTAACAGCAAATATATTAGCAGGGTTTTTTTCAACTTTTAGGGCCATCTCGTCTCACGTTGAGGAATTATTTCATATTGAATGCAAATGGTTCAATGTACTTTTAAACATAATATAGGATCTGAGTCCACAAACAGCGTAAGGTTTTAAAAGGAGTCATTGTTGCCATTCATTTGTAAGTTTTGAAGCCTGATTTCTCGGTGTGCACCATGTTGTTTGACTCGCACACGAAATCCCTTTCAAGTGCGTCTGAACTTGACTCGCTAGACACTTGTGCACGGTGATCTGCCTACCAATAAGGGGAACATTTAACATTTTTATTAAAAAAACGAAACAAAATAACAACTTCGACCCTCTAATGTACCTTAGAACTTTGTAGCATTTATTCTGTGACACTGGTACTATATTACGTTGCGTAAATTTTCATTGCTGTGGGGTAAATATTATCAGAAAAACATTTTAAATAATTAATACTAAATAACTTCAGTTTACAAAATTCAGCTTAACACTATAATAATTGCGAAAAAAGTATCATTTTAGTAACATCACAACGCCTGCAGAATAGGCAAACCTTCATACTTCCGTGTCACGTGAGTCACATACGCCTTTTTAAAGACCCTGCATGAAATAAGAGTTCAATATGCTACTTGCATTATTACTAACTTTTCTCATTATTATTATTATTATTATTATTATTATTATTATTATTATTATTATTATTATACTTTCATTACGAAACTGATCATACATTGAAAAAGATAAATTGAAGAAGCTAGTGTCACTGTAACTCCTCAGAAGTTGTCTAAAAACTACGCAAAAACATGTTGCGTTTCTCTTGACTGAGAAGAGAGTCGATAGAAAACAACGCAAGATTTAATACAGATAAATTCAGTGTCACCGGTGTCCACACTTCTTGACACTGGCGTTGGCGATAGTGGTCTGCGCCAAACACGACGGGCACACATACTACACACACTACACACACGCACACACACACCACACATAGTGTGTGAAGAGAGTGTATAGAAAAATATGTATACCTAACGCAGTCAAATATCAATTAAAAGCCATCATTCAACAGCCGGAGCTTCAAATTAATCACCTGCGTCAACAATTGCAGCAGCTGTAGCACGTCCAAGACAACATGGAAAATTTCCAACACCAACTACAGCAAAGGCAGCCTTCTTAACATTATGTTAGGCAATTTATCGCAACTGACGGTGCAGCAGCTTCCGAGTTACAGAGCAGTCAACGCACCGCTTACAACCCCAAGAATCACCACCAATCACAATAAGTATCAATGCCAAGCCAATAACTTCGGAAAAGAATCCAAGAGGCGTAACATGACGCAATCAGGTTAAAGTGAAAGTGAAACTGTACTATGTCCCAGTTAGTTCACGTTATGCTAAAATTTAGAAACAATGAATGTCTGCGAACCAGAAACAGCTCAAGTTAAAATTGCCCCTATAAACGTTCACGCGGTTGATAAGAACTGGGATGGACATTAGAAGAAAAGTGAATAAATTATAAGCCTTATTAAAACCCACTTCGATCAAGATACTCCAATTATAATAATTGTATCGCCAGAATATATCCAAATTCCATACATGGACTACGGTCAAACGTATCAACAAGGACAAAACAAAAATTCCCAGGGGATCGAGATGGCCTTGACTATAATACGCGAACATCGTGTATTACTAGTATTTTATTCGTACGCGTGTATTAACCTTAAAAGTGAATTACACGTGTTTTGTGGTGTGTTTTAACAGTTCAAACTTTGATAACTAGTGATCCTACCAGTACCAGCCACATTTAGTGGTTGGTTTAGTTCAGAAGGATGGATTCGTCTGACAACAGGGGAGCCCTTACCCTACCCCATACTGAAATTCAACCTAACGCGCCGCACAGTAATATTATGCTGGAGATACAGCAAGTGAAATCTTCCCAAACAAGGATCAAGCTATTATAATGGAAGCAAGGTATCATCATCAAGGATTACATCTGTAAGTTAACCAATATAATTCAACCAAATTATATCAGATTTATCTCTCGCATATCTAATAATAGAATGTGTATTTTTGAGTTCAAAGAAAATTGCTGATTCCATCACTGACAAGTATCAAATGTTGAAAATAAAGAATTTTGAAGGTAGTAAAAGACCACTGTTAAGTAAACACAAACGAGTCATTTCTAATGGAGGTCCAATCAAACCTCTTGAAGAAATTAAAGAAAACTCTCAATGAAATGGACATTGAAACCTCTCTTAGCTTAAAATCGTTTTTGTTAGTAATTTTCGAAAATATTTTTCAAAATCGCAGATTTTAAGGTCGGGCGAGAATGACCGGGGAATACTCATTTTGGAAAAACTCGTACGAACAGTTCAGGCGCTAGTGTTCCATACACATACAGATGGACGGACAGGCGGAGAAAAAACACTTTTTCGGTATCCGGAGTCCCCAAAATGTGTAATTTCGTTCCCTAAATCGATTTTCCGTAGCATTACATAACTTTCTCTATACTATGTATATTACTCCGTGTATACGTACGTACATACATGAGAAAGTAAAAATGATTATAATCAACAAAAGAAAAAAGTGAAAAGAATTTTGAGAACTGTTTTGGCAATAAGAATGAACTTAAAAATTTGTGTACAAGACAATGTGCTATCAACTTAAATTGTTTGATATTTGTGATATGTTTTCATAAATTTCATTTTTTAATATTTCCAATGGAAATATATTTAGTATTTTAATTCCTAAACCTTTTAAGGTCTCATTCTTGAAGCCTTGCTGTACCATGGCATAAGCTGTAAGGAGAATACATCTGTGATGTCAATTATTTTATTTTTTGGTGCTGTACATTTTATAGATTCAAAGATTTTCAAAGAAAAGACGAAAGAGGTCGCAATTTGCGCTCGTTTCCGTCATCTACAGTCCCTTAGTCCAACGGATCCACCTGCTTCGAAACAATTATGAATGACATATCCTTGGGATCAAAATATAATTTTATTAGAAATATTGTTGAACATGTTGAAAGTCGTTTATAGTACAGTCAACATAAAGAAATGACGAACAATTAATTATCCATCGTTATTTCAAAGTTATTTTATAACGTTGCTACAGCAGCGCCTCCGTACTCAGCGGCGGGTCCTAGTACGACATTTGCTCAGTTTTTGTCTGTCCATCGAAAGGCGAGGTCTTCACTGTCTTCCGAGGTCTTCCGTGCTCTCGCATCTTGTGGCGTCGACATCTCCACCCGTTCCTGCCTTACCATACGCCAAGATTTACTGCATCCAATCTTACTTGAAAGTGATAATTTATACAAAGTATTTCAAAGCTGTAAGTAATACACTCAATAGTGCGATATTATACGTATTTAGATGTGTGTAAAGAAAAATAAAAGCTAAGAATTATCCGCATAAGTGTTCTTGTGCCCTCATTTTGCTAGACGCGACAGGAGTGAGGGGGGTGTTATTTCGATGACAGAATTATTATAACATATCTGTAGTTTGTTTTTTATTTGCAAAATAATTTCTATTATATGGGAGCGCACTTATCTGGTTAGATTTGTCAACAACGCTCGTCGCTAGCATTAACTCGTAATTCAACTAACAGTAGAAAAGAGTGGGGGTAGGTATTCCGGGGCTCAAGAAAACATACATCTATAAACACTACGCAAACATTTGAATTGGATGCGCATAAAATTGGGGAATAAAAGATGATTTTTTTATCTCGATTGTCTGAAGTCAAACTACTTAATCGAGAGCAATGTTATAATAACCCCTGGGCCCCTATTAGA